TGCGAAAACAACTAAAGAGATCATAATTAAAACTGAACCACAAACCTTCAGATATATAGGTTGTACAGATTTCACAGAACAAAATAAACGAGCAAATCTATTGGTTTTGTTTTCGCAGTCACAACGCTCATTGGATTTGAAGTGCAGTAACATTCAATTTAAACTCTTTAAAGTGAAACCAGTTTAAAACAAGTATTTGTTATTCATTTTGATATTTACCACTCTAATTTATTTATAACTAACCAATCATGATCTAGTGTAAATACTTTCGATAAATTGTGAAGCTAAAACTATTTGTAGTTTCAAAAGAGAATAAAAGAAAACAGATACGAATCAATTGCTTCCTCCTCTCCTCTAAGCTCGCAAGAATACCAGTGTGTTCTAGACCTATTGAGACTAGGAAATACTTGAGTAAGATTAGGAGTGGCATTAGACTAGGAAATACGAATATATCCGGCCAAAAATAAGATAGCGTGACGAACAGACGGTGTACTTTATCCGAAGTTACTCTATGAGAAGACCACCTCGGACCTGAACTCAGTACTGAAGTGCGTTAGATCGGCCAGAATGTCACATACCTTCTTCAAGTCATAAGCTTTTGGATGCGACCCCGATAACTCTCGAGGAGACACGGAGTCGTATTGTGCTGACTGAACCGAAAATTATGGGCAACGCAATTTGCCGGATATTGAAGAATTGAAAAAAGGAGAATCTCTGTCTAATGAGGTGAGAATTTGTGACAAAAAAGATGATGATACATATGACATTTATCTGCGTCTGATGAAACTGAAAAGTCATCAATTTGACCATGGAGAACGGCAATGTCACTGTCTGGCTCACTGATTGTGTTGCATCTTCTGAGAATTGAAAATTATTTCTGACGCCGTCTCTACGTTTAAATGATCAAAAAGCAGAGAAAAGGCAGTCCAATGAGGCAATCACTTTCGGAGTCCTAAGATTATACGCCAATCGGTCACAATCGGTCACAATAGTATTTAAATATTAGGCTAGCATAATCATCGGATAATCGACGATCTCGCATTTTGCATTTGGTCTGACAAAAATATCAAGGTTCTTCGGCTTCAGATTCAATTTAATTAATACAGTCTGTGCGATTTTTTTGTTACTAATTATATTGAAAAAAATCTGGAAATTCATTAGGAAATTTCCAATTAACATATTCAGTCTAATTTAAGCGGGAAAACTGTAAAATTCCACCGGCTGAGTCATTCGGTAACCCTCCCATTTTGAAACTGGAAGGTTTTTTATCATTTGAAACTTAAAAAGACTGTTATGTTTTAGTTTGTCAATTAACAATTGATTTAAGTTATTTTTATCGTGTTTGCCGAGTTAGGTGAGTTAGAGTATTTATTCATAAAGTACTGATCAAAGCCAATTCTGTTCAAAAAAATATACTCCTATGGGCAAAATGAACCCGGTTTTTATGGCTAATCGCGTATTTAATTATTTCCAAGACATCTATTTTGGGTTGTTTACTCAATTAGAGAAACAGAGGGTGTTTTTTTAGATAAACTGCTCAAACCGCTCATTATGAAGAAAGATTTTGAGCGCAATCGTCTAGAAAAATTGCTCTCAAAACGCTCAAATCTTGCTTCAAATTAGGTGAAAAATCTAGACTTGGGTCCATGTGGCCTAAAAACGGTTTAATGTGTATCACAATTAAAACTACTAAGTACCTGAGTTACAGTTAGATTGGCTCAAAACGTAGCGTCGCGCGTGGGAACGGTGAAATTGTCCTGACCTCAAGCGAATGGCTCTGGGACCTAGTTTCCACTCTGTCGCGTGTGGCACTCCTACGATAATTTTTTTCTTCTCATATGGAAAACTCGGTTTGGTAGCTCTTTTGCGTCAGCGAGTTTTTGAAAAAACGTTCTTTGTGTTTCAATAAACCTTATCCAAATGCCCATATTAGAAATGACTCCATCCCGTGTTCTGAAAATGTTTGAGGCAAAACTTGTTTTCCTGCTCTAGTTATGATAAAATAGGCGGAATCTGGTGTAAGAGGAAAACAAGCCCGAAGAAAAAGCGAAGCCCTGAATGTTCCGACTGCCTTTTAAGGTTTATAGAGCAGTAATAACATGAAAAAATTAATTGTAAAAAAAGTAATTCATTGAAAATTTTTTTTCAAATATGAGATTTCTTTTGAAAATCATCTCCTCTCAACAACCCATATAAAGCACAGAGTGATAGGTTTCGCTGGTATTAACATATCAGTTATGGCAAACATGCTTCCTTCAACCAATTTGGAACGATTTCTGAAACGGATTACATCTCAGCTTACGCGTTAATGAAGCGAATTGTATCGCGCGTTACTTGTCCCAAATTGGCCGAAATGGCAATCTTCAAACCCAAAAACGTTACGAAAAATGATAACAGGTGAACTATCGTTTCAAATTTGAGCTCTGGACAACAATACCTTTTTAAAAAAATTCGTCAGAAATGCCTAGTTAAAAAGTCGAATTTTCTCTGAAGACAAAAAAACCACGCCCGAGCTTAAATATGGGGGCGTTCAACAATGCCGAAAACGGCGGGAGCAATTCAGAATACTTTAACCGTATTTTCTGAAGAGCGGGAAATTACTGATGCTAATTAACAAAGAAAATCACTCCAATTTTGGCGCAAAAAGGTCTGCAACTGCAAATAAAACGGAGATAGGAAGTTAGACAATTAGCAAATTAGACGGCTCCAATAAAACGGACTTTAGACGTTGATTTTTTTTTGCAAAACTGGCATTTCAGATGGTAAGCAAGAAGCTAACAAAATTTATTGCTTATAACAAAATTTCACAAATACAAGAAGAGTGTATAATCCTATTGCATATAAAATCTTTTATTATAAATGATTTATAAACATTAATCAAAATATTACAAACTATTTTTGGAATGCATAAATTCTACAATTGGCTCATTTCAAAAATTGCCTTTGCATTTTAGCAAGCTCGAACGAAAGTTGATTGTAGCCAGTAAACAAATTTCAGAAACGAACCATACAATTACGTCTAAATTCCCATAATTGCCGTTTTAAATTCATTTTTTTCTGGTCAAGTCTAATGTTCTTGTAGTCTAAATTCTTACACCCAGTTACACATTTATTTTGGCGCCAAAACTTCCAAGTTGCAAATTTTCTTGCTCAAAATATTAGAGTGTCACTTAAGACTGTAAGCGATTGCCGTTTAATTTTTGATTGCCGAACTTAATATGTTCAAACTTTCGGCACTGTTGAACAAAGTTTTCGTTTTCGGCACTGTTTTACTTCGGGCACTGTTGTACTACCCCACAATATTTCGTTACTTTCATTACGAAAGTCTGAACAAAAATTCATCGAAAGAAACAGCGCAGTACAACAGTGCCGAAGTACAACACTGGCGAAACAAAATGCTGTTCAACAGTGCCAAAAATTGTTTTGAATACTGTTTTGACTCATCTTAAATCACAGAAAATTAGTTTTATGCAAAAGGACAGAAGTTGAAAAGACACAAATAGACAATTTAAATTGATGCTGCTTGTTAAACAAACAAAAACTTCTCATGTGGCGTCATAAATTTTAACTCAATTTTTCTGAGCCAGCAATTCCCAAACCGAACTAAAATTTCTCAAATATCATTACTTTTATTGGCACTGTTGAATACTTTTTCAGTGTTAGCACTGTTGTACTTCGGCACTGTTGAATGGCCCCAAAAAAACTGTCAACATGTTTAAAAAAAGTCATTTCGTCGCCACGATTTACTTGCCTTCTTTAGAGAAAATTAGTTTTTGAAAAACTGAAATTGCGTGCGTAATAACTTTAGGCTATGCCTTACAATCAGACAAACCATGCTGTAGTGTGGTTAATTTTTTTTTACAAAATCGGTATTCACGATAAGCATTTTTACAGAAATATTATTCACAGCAGTAGTATTCATTATTCACAGCACACGTTTTTACAGAAGTAGTATTCTCGACTTTTTATGAATTAGTGAATCTAGCGGTTATTTGCTTAAAAGTTGAACAATGTAGTGTAGGTACAGTTTCGATACAGTTTACTGGCGGGAGTAGCCAGAAAACTAATTTAAATCTGACGCTCACAAAAGTGAGTTTTGATAAACCTGATAAATTTTGATCAAGCAGAAGGTAAGCGCAGCTAGAAATTATTTCAAGCGTTTGCTACCAGAAAACGGAAGCTATTCGTCAAAATTTGTGCTAATTAAAAAAAAAATTCTGGCTACCGGGGAACAGTTTACTTGGCTATCCATTGTTTTTTGTTTACTATTACGGCTCTATTTTTGTAGGAGATTGTTCATGCTCATTCTTAACGCCTCATACTAGGTGCATGCATCTAGATAAATAAGTAACTTGAAATAAATTAAACATACTTGATTCAGAACTTTCAGTCGACCAATCAGATTCAAAAATGATCCAATGAAATATATATACATTTTAGAAGTCGGCTTAAGAATAAAGTAATCGCATTTTTTTCAACCAAACCAACCAGTGATATCAGTATATTGTTCTGAGCTTTTATACATTGAATTTTACAAAATCGCAAAATTGAGATTTTTGGACGGAACAAGTAAAAAGACCCCAAATTTGTCCGCTGTGGACAACGCGAGGTATTCAGTGCGCAAACCCTGCTCGCATTTGGTCGAATTTTTGAAGTGTGTACAATTTTTCGTTTCGAATCCTTTCCCTATGTAACCGGATTTAAAAAGATTGTTTTCGAATCACTTAGATTTTGATGTCTGTTTTTTTTTTCAAATTTTGTTTTCGTTCATCATTACGAGGCTAAACTGTGTATTTTTTGTTTGGTTCTTTTGTTTTTTTTATCGTTCCGACAGGAAGTTTATGACATGTTCCAATCAAGTGCACAGTTTCGCCTCGTAAAAATGAGGAAACTTTTTTTCTAGAAAATGTGAGTAATTTTTTTGACATTTTGAATGAATGAACTTGTTTTGCAACCTGCTACGGGAATCTTTTAACTAATTTAAATGGATCTCCGTGAAATTTTTGATCAAAGTCTATTTTTTGTTGCTGGTATAAATATAATAACTTGATGTCTTTTTTTGTTGACAACAATTTAGCAAATTCTTTGGCTTGAAAAAGAAAAAAGTGAAATGTTTTGGGCTGGTCATCCCAAGTGTTGAGCCTGATTGACTCATTTATCGGACTTATACATCTTTGGTTGAAACTGGAAGTTTGGTCGACGCATATGGTTGATACATAGTTTGAGTATATCAACCCGGGAACATTAAGTTATAAGTTTTGTCAAAGACTTTCGTTAAAATGAGACTGTTTACTTTTAAATGTATTGTTGAACAGCAATAAGGATTCCGTTAGCGACTCATCAACATAAAAAAAGCAACAGAGTAGATTGTCACTCCCAGAAAATATATGAACCCAATAACGGAGTCAATTTTTCTTAGTCGTGTCATCTTCGTTTTATTCGAGCAAACGCGATTGGCAAGCTTATTTAATTCCATATCTGTAAACGGTGATTTAAACGCTGCAAATTCGTCTTCATTTTTGCTGTTTCTGCTGATATTGACAAAATTAACGGACACTGTTGCCAAGACCATTGATACACACGATAAAACAATGGTAGATAGAAAGTATGTGAACAACTTGGGAAATGTTTTTGATGTCATGGGAATGAAGATTGTAAAAATAGTCAAATTGACACAAAGCGATAGTGTAACCGTCACACCATAACTCAGTTTTTCACCAATTTCTCCCGGAATAAAGAAAGTGAGAGAACTGATTCCCAGTAATAGAACTGTGGGGATTACTAAGTTGACGACGAAGAATGTTTGAAGTCGTTTGAAGGTCACAGTTATTACTGCATCACTGTAGTTATCCATAAATCGCTCATGACACGAAGCTCCTAAAAATTTTAATTTTTAATTAAGTTTTTTTTTCAAAGTATAGGAATTTTTATTCTCAACGAAATCAAAGCAAACAAAAAACGCGGCACAATTCATTCCTTGGGTAATATCAAAAATTACCCATTGTTCTCATGGCATCCCCCTTAGAAAAAATTTTCAGAAATACCTTTCAAATCCCATAGACTATCAGGTATATATGCATCCAAATTCAGCTCATTGTCACAAGACATTCTCATTTCAGCCGTTGTGTACTGCCATGATCCCATCGCGATTTCACATGTTTGCGAATCAAATGGAAAGTTTGTCACATCCATCGAGCAAGTAGTTTCTATGTTCATTGGCTGAGACCAAGATACGTTACCACCATAGTTTACCAATAGAGGCGCAATATAATAAAATTTGAGGTAATCAAGATTTCCTATTTCTGTATAGAGAAGAACGTCAGGCATCCATACGGAATATTGAGGGATCCGGATCTTCTCAATTCCAGAATAATTTGCTGGATTCCACTTCAAGAACTCATCGTGCCAAGTTATGTTCTGAAAGATCAACAACTGGATCGATTGTTCTTGTGAGTTGAAGCCAACTAGTTGGTACAGACCGGCAAAATACTTCACAAAGATAACAGTAGTTCTATCTCGAACAGGGCGATTAAAACGATGGTAATCAGATGGCAATAAATCCTTGCGCAGTCTGGTCTCAGGGTGGTTGCTGTCGTTTAACCCAGCATAACACACTTCCACAGAGTAATAGATTTAGGAAACAATAAGTTCTCATAATTCTAATCAGTCAAATTTGATATTGGAAAATTGGTGTTCACAAAATTTGGCTGTTATCAGTTGGAAAAATGGTTTCAATATTTTCTAATAAAAATGGACCCTTAAAATTGAAAGAATTCAAATATTTAAGAATTAAAGAAGCGAATTGTTCCAAATACGGATATTTATTTATTTTTTAAATTTCGAGGTGAAAGATTTGAGTCATAAACTATAGTATGCTATTAAAAATAAATTAGTTTACCACATATACATTCATTGGTTGTCCTCCAAATGAATAAAAAAAACTACAAATGCTTTTTTTTGCGAAATTTAGTCTGCTGAGTAGTCGAAAACTTAGACCCCTTTTTCTAAACACTGAAAAAATATTAGTCAAAAAGATTTTCAAAATCTAAATGACTATCAACAATGCGCTTTCATGAAAGCACTTTAAATTGTGTAGAAAAACCAATCCACGCCATATTTGTGGCTTGGTTGGAACAAAATACATATGGTTGTATCGTTGGAATAAACAACCAAAAAGCAATTTTTATGAAGTGTTTAAAAATAAGCGCCACTAAAATTTTAGCTCAGCCAATTATGCAAAATTTGTTTTGATCTAAGAAGCGTTTTATGCACGTTCTTAACAGCAAAATCTCCAGCAGAAAAAAAAGCTCAAGAAACAATTAATCCTCAGGCAAATAACAGATCAGAATAATTTTAAGTTGTTTCACCTGTTTCAGATAGTCATGTATCTTTAGTTTTTGCAATACTAAAATCCTTGAAAACCTTTGAAGAGAAAGAATAAAATTGTTGTTTTTATAGGAGAAAGTTGTTTCTTGGGCTAACACGAGCGTCGTGAGTAAAACTTTATAGTAAAACCACACTACAAACAAACTATCATTACGAGGTTAAATCATTGCATACAAGAACCGTTTGGTGAGTTCAGGCACCTGGAACCAAAATACAAGTCTTTCAACATGTAAAAAAATTGTCGGCTTGATCAATGGAGATAAAAGAAGAAAAAAATAGAACGGTTTGTTGCAAAATCCCCTGCTAACAAATCACAAAATACCTTTTTTAGTATAATGAGCCTAATGATTTTGAAATGTAGCCTAAAAGCGTAACTTAGCCTAGTTTAGAAGCACAAAGGGCGCATCTCTTTATTATTGTAGGATGGGATGACATTTTACCCCTGCTAAGTTGATACTCCTCGCAAATACCACTTTCACATTTTCTGAAAGATCGTACATAGTATGCTAAACTAAAAAGTTAGCATAATAAGGGACAAAAATAAATTATGTGAAATCAGTAGGATTTTTTGTGTGGAGTGTATTGAAATGAAGCTGCAGAAACTAGTGAAAAGCAAAACTTCCCATTTCGTTTTATTAGTTTATTAGCGTGAAAGCTTATGGTTAAAATTGTAAACAAGCATATTATTTTTTATCACCATTGCCATTGCAAAACATACCTATTCTATTTCATAGATGATTCAAAGGTTTTTATTAAGATGATGATGCATTATTGATGACTTGATATAGATGATATGTATCAAAGGACTGTAATCAATGTTTTCAAGTATAATACTTAGTATAACCAAATAACAAAAACTTTTAAAACTGAAATTTGACGGACTTTAGTCTCATTTTAACTTTGCAATTTGATATTTTTTAACTCGTACTAAAAAAAGTTATCAAATTTTTAATTACATTTTGACACCTTTTGGTTTATTGACCAAACCACTTACAAATTTAATTTTTTGTAATGCGAGTTTGTTTTAATTTGATTTGATTTAAATTGTGTTAGCTGATAATGTTAGCTGATAATTGAGTATCTAAAACTGGCGTGCAAAATGCATTTGTTTTGGTTAGCTCAATCCTGCAAAAAATGTTCGCTAAAGTTGCTAAAATTGTCATAATGCCCCCAAAATGAATTTTTATTGTTTTTTTATTAACTTAGTTGCAATTTCTATTTGTATTATTATACTCACATTTTAGCAAAAATACCTTCTGCGCAAAAACAAACAACTACTCAAAGTCCGGTCCTTTTATACGTAATGAATAATTCTTTTAAAATTAGGAAAAATAGTACCCTTACGTAAATTTTACGTCGCATTACAGAAATATTTGTGCAAATTCGATAGTTTGACATATCGAATTTTTGTAGTAGACCCCAGTTGGCCTCGAAAAAAATGGACTGTATAGAAATGGACGTAAAGAAAATAAAAAAAAGCAGGCGGTTCTCTGCGCGGAAAGTGGTCAAATTGATTAAGGTGGGTGTACACTGATTCTACAAAAGACTATAGCAAATTTACACTCATACCCATCCAGATATAAAAAAATCTAATTACATGTATCGACGATAAACGATCAACGATCATGATAGGCGTAATACAGATTCTTTTATAGCTTGAAATTAAAATAAAACAAGACTGCTCGTATCAGGGCAAAGCCTTGAATGTTCCGACTGCTTTTAAGGTTTTATGGAGCAGTAATAACATTTTAAGGTTTTATGGAGCAGTAATAACAAAAAATTAAATGTAATAAAATAAAAAATAAAATTTTAATTTGAAATTTTTTATGAAAATCATCCCCCCACACGCCATTTAAAGTACAAAAAGATAGATTTAGCTCCTTGTAACAAATCAATTATGGCAAATAAGCTTCTTTCAACTAATTTAGAACGATTTTAAGACGGATTAACTCTCCGCTTACGCGTTAATAGCGCGAAATATATCGCGCGTTAATTGTCCCAAATTGCCCAAAATGGCAATCTTTAAACCCCCATAACTTTACGAAAAATGATCACAGGTGAAATATCTTTTCAAATTTGAGCTCACGACAACAATACCTTTTGAATGATATAAAAAAATTCCGTCAAAAATGGCTAGTTAATAAGTCGAAATTTGTCTGAAGAAAAAAAAACCCACCCCGAGCATAAATATTCCGTTACTTTCGTATCGAAAGTCAGAACAATTACGAGCCTATTTTTTCTACGCCAGTTATAGTTTGTTTACATTAAGCTGCCATTGAATCAAGAGGTTTTATTAAATGTTTTCTTCAAATTACTTAAGGCTGAAAGGAGAACTATTTTCCCAAAAGTAAATTTTTTTGAAACGCGTTTTTTTTTCGAATTTACGACTGCTCGTTTATGTTGTGTACTGTTTTTGGCTACAACTTCATAAAATGACAGACTAGGATCAATTACATTGCCTGAAATAAACTTTAAAATTTTTTATGAGCTTATATCAATCGCACTAACTTGCTCATTTGGCTGTTTTGAATCCAGTATATTTTTTTGAATGCCAGGGAGACAAAAAACTTTTTGCGCCCTAGGTATCAGTATTTTTCAGATGGTTTACCATTTGGAAGTTTGTCTGAAAAGTATACTGAACACAAATATTCCGTCATTTTTTCCGGAATTCGTGGATTCCACTTATAATTTGTGGATTCCACATGCAATTTGCGGAGTCCGCTAGCAATTTGCGAGTTCCACTTACAATTTGTAGGTTCCGCTTACAACTGCGGACTCCGCATTAGCTCTTGTAAACTATTTACATGTCTTATTATTTGTTTGTGGATTCTACAAACTGTTCCGTATTCCGAAAATGCGTTTGCAGGTTCCGCAAGTTCGTCTATTTTTTTGCAATTTTGAGCCGTACAGTGTTTTAGGTATTTGTTTGAGGAATCCAAAACACCAAATAATATCAAAAAAAAATTGGGGATTCCGCGACAAATATGATTTTGTCCTGTTGCGGAATCCGCTTACAATGCACAAAACGCACAGTTTGGCCTCGTAATGTAATGAGCTTTGAAATTAAAAAAAATTATGTGAAACGCGAGGTGGAAGAAATTTTCTTCAAAACGTGGAAGTACTTCAACAGGATTATCAGAACATTCAAGCTTTCCCCTGATACTACGACGGCACTGTAGCTATTTAGACCTGGAGATAATTTAGACCAATTTTGTGTTCTCGTTTTGAGTTTCTCTTTTCGAATTAGTTGGGAGAAAACGATTATTTTTAATATAAACTAAATTTCAGACAAAAATGACACATACTTGCAAATTGAGATATTCATCTTAAAAGAGATGTTTATTCTCATGACGGAGTGATGGAATGATGGATAACTTTTACAGAATCAGAATTGTAAAATAGCATTTTCTGATAACCACTTAGCGTTTTCTAAAACTTTTCGAGTCTCGGTTCTGCAAGCTCGCAACACGTATCCGATCGGCTTTTCATCTGCTAATTTTGAGTTCGACCAATATTAAATTGACTGCTTCAAACGTACTTTATTCTTTGAGATTTTTATAGTAATTAAATAAATATGTTGGATTGGTTTTCAATCATTCAATCATTTCTGAATAAATTCAATTCACAACTTAATTCAAAATGAACATTGCTACAATATATTCATTTAGACATTAATCGACGATAATTTGCGCTTGATGATTGAATCATTTGCCTACCCATTAATAAGAACAATATTTTGTAGAATTGATTAAAGGACATGCAAATGCGATGGTCTAATAAAGCTATTTTTTTTTGCCGTTTCATTAGCCCAAAACGTGAGCTTAGTAAAGTTTTTCTAGTTAAAAAGACTGTGCCAACAAAAAATGGCGAATTTCGAAGAACTTTAATTTTGTGTTTTTTTTCGAAATTCTCCAAAGTAAACTTCTTTGAAAATTTCCCTTTATCTGTTGGTTATTGTTCCTACTTTCGAAGAAAGTGAGGAATAATTATGCTTGGGGTGTTGTTTTATTAATTCAATTTTCGACTTGTTAGCTAAGCGTTTTTGACGTATTTTTATACCATCTAAGATAATTTGTTATTCTAAGCTCAAATATAAAACGCCATTTCACCTGTGATCATTTTTCGTAAAGTTACGTAAAGAAACAACGAAGAACATTTTTTACTCAATTACTTTGTCAGTTATTCAACCAAATACTCTGCAATTGGCCCAGAGTGCAGTCGGAACATTCAGGGCTTTGCGCTGA